TCTCTCTCTCTCTCTCTCTCTCTCTCTCACTCACTCACTCACTCACTCTCACTCTCTCCTTCCCTCTCTCTGCAGAAACTATTAATTTTAATAAATTAATTATGATTTAAATCACAATAGGATTTACAAAATGCAGTTCGCATTCAATTAGAGCTATGGTCTGAAGGCACGGAATTGTACTTAAAAAGCACTTGTAATTCAAGTAAAAACACTTATAAAGCGGTGATTTTATGGGAGAAAACTTCAAGGTTTTTTGCTAAACGAGATTATTTTATGAATATTTTCTCACAAAACCTATTTTTAATTGATAACCACAAATGCAATCTATGTTGAAATTTGTGCAAACTATGTACGTATTTAAAAATTGTAAATTGCAATTAAATTATTTATTAATTGTTAAATATTACACATGTACAACTAATATTTTAATACCATCGAGATTAATTATACAATTACTGCAATGAAACAGTTATCTGGCGCATAAAAAGGTGTGAATATAGCTTATCATGTAATTTCCATTATAAATAAAATTATGTTTAAATATAAAATGAATCTAAACGTGTAATATTGTATAAACTAAAACTAGTAAATAATTTAAATTGACAATTTATAAATTAAACACCTAGCCAATTTATTACACACAATGAATGCCAAGCGTATTTGTCAAGTATGCGGCGATACTAAATCAGTTGGTATGTAATTTATAATAATATAAATAAATTTACATTGCACCATGGTGTAAACTATAATTTATAAACTAGGTAGAAATTACGGTTCAATCACATGCAAATCATGCCGAGTATTCTTCTGGCGCGCCATCACAAACAATAAGGTAAATATTAAAATTAAATATACATTTAATAACACAATAATAATTAATTAACTTATAATGTGATTAACAGGTATTAAAGTGTCCGTCAAAAGGCACGTGTAGTATAGATAAGGCGTTTCGTAGCATTTGTCCCAATTGTCGGCTAAACAAATGTTTTACTGTCGGAATGAAAAGGGTATTAAACTATTAATTTTACACATTATTTAATTACAATTTAAACTAATAATTACAGGAATTTATCAAAAGTGAAGAGCAAAATGAGACCAATAATTGTCAATTGAATGCCACTATCAATAGGAAAGGCACCGCATCTGCACTGATATAATAGCGTTTAAAAACAATGATAACAACAATAATTTTGATGAAATTGAAGATTTAATTACCGAAACACTGAATATTAGTACCGATGGACTCGTGGACCAAATGAATGAAATTGAAAACTGTTTACAAACCACTTATATTGACACCAATAATGAGCTAAAATCACTTAACAACATATACTATGGTAAAAACAAGTGCCAGGACCCGACCCTAATGCCCATAATCCCTGTCCTAACCGATCACAAGGGCTGGAATCAAATGGAGACCATAAAGCTGTCGGAACTGTTGACTTCGTCCCATGTGTTCAGTTACCCGATGGCCGACACCAGACATATCATTAGAGATAAGATTGAATTTTTCCGTGTATTGTCTCAATACACTGAGAATAGTATATCGGATGTGGTCAAATTCACCAAGGGCCTTAATGGTTTTAAAATCATCTCGGCCGCCGATCAATACACATTGATTAAGCATGGTTGTTTTGAGCTGTTGACCCTGCGCTATCTGGTCTATTACGATCACCGGAATGATTGTTTTAACTTTCCATATGTAAGCGTGTGTTTAATTGTTATCATGTTTAAAATGTTTTTATATTTTGTTGAATTAAATTAATTTGTTTTAAACTAGAAAAACTAAACACCTATAATACTTGAGTCAAGAAACGGGGAGCCGTGTGGCTCCGCTTTCCACTTAACCGAGTCAGTAAAGAAACTATGAAAGTAATGGTTTTTTACCGTGAATTGTTTTTACCACTTATGCTACATCTCTCATGTCTCTTCACAGATTCAAACTAGTCAAGCTCGACAGGGTCTTCTTTCCCAGTTTATTTTGCCGAGAGTTGAGCTGTGATGATCAATTAATCATATATGATAATGTCATAATAAAGTATTTGCTTTTTTTATTCAGGCACTGCAGTGCAAAAATACAACAAACAAACTGCGACCACAAATGACAATCTCATCACTTCCACGTATAAGAACAAAACGGTATATGTAATCCAAAGCCGTCATCTCCCGAGGAAAAGCCAAAGCCCAAAACCGACGCTTGAAAGTTTCGCTCATCTGCTTTAATTTCAGTGTCAACATTTAGACCGAAGCCAATTTTTGAGTCTTTTGTTTCGTGCTCGAGCCAAGCCACTTTGCCTTCAACACCCACATCAACGCCTTTATCGGTAATGCCAAAGTTGGCGCCTGCTTTTCCATAAGTTAAACTTTTATCTTTATCTGAAATCTGAAAAAGAGCTCCTCGTGCGCCAACCTCTACGCCCTCTACACCGACGTACACATTGGCGTCCAGGTCCAGGACATGAGCGTTGTGAATGTCCAGTAGTGAGCCTTGCATTTCGGTGCCAATGCCATTTTCGTCACAGCGAAAGTTCTCCACCGCAGATGCGCCCAATTCCGAGCCAGCAATAGCGCCAACCACACTGCCAGTGATAGCACCTGCAACTGCGCCCACTGGGCCACCGGGGGCGCCAACCGCTGCGCCTACCTGGGCACCAGCGTAGCCTAACGTCGCGGCGCCACACCACTCTCCACCAATACATAGGCTTGTGAGGACGGTCTTCTTTCCCGGGTTGCGCTTGCAATCGCGCGCATCGTCCAAGATACCTTCGGCAAATATAAGTGCATTCTCCGTGTCTCGTTTGTTCTTCAATCCGCCCTTCTTCAAATCCTCCTTTAGAGTGTCGATAATGTTTTCTAAAGCTGCAATTTCGCTATCAATGTCTATTTCGTCATAAATTGCCTTGCCGATTCGAACACCAGTGGTCATAATAGACACAACGAGCAATCCCTTTCCGGTCCACTAAAGATGTATGATAGTTGCATTTTGTGTATTAATGTTTCAATTCTATTGTATATCCAATATATCTGTTTAAAAATGCTCACCTTTAAGCCCGTTTGAATGTTTTCAGCTGCTTTGATCGTGCCCGCCGAGAGCTCTTTGTGGTAGTTAGCCTTGTTGGACACGCCTTTTGGATCTATGAAAAGTCGATGATAGTCAGATTTTGTTTCAGGGCTTGGATTGTTGAAACGTATTACGTTTGCACCTGCAATAACATTTGCATTAGTAATCAATAATGTGTGGCGACTGCTGAAGGCACATACCAACGGGTTTGCTATTTGTTCCCATAGGCCCCAGATTCATGTCTCGAACGCCAGCTTTTGTTACATTATTTATTGCTTTCTCAGGTAATAGCGTAAATCGCATTTGCATTGCTTTGGACGCTTGTAGCGTTTTGGCTAAGTTGTCAAAGTTCTTGATCAGTCGGTTGTGCTTCTCACGGGCCGTCTCTTTATTTCGATACATCTTCGGATTCGGTCCAAATGAGTTTTGATTATATTTATAACTTGCACGCAACTTGCACTTACAAGCATTTACTGGCATATATCAATTTGAAGCTGAGGTGCCATGAGTAGCGCTGAAAACAGTTATAAGTTGTGTGCGGAAATCGGATTTGAAAGGCGCTTCTGTTTAGGACTTATCGCGCGAGTTATTGCAAAAAATGTCAGTGCTGGTGGCTGTGATTTGGTAGTTGTATAGCAATGTATGCCAGCCAGCGATTGAAGGCCTGATTCATTCACACTGTTACTGTGCAATAGATATGTATAGCCGTTATAAATGACATCAATTTTTGGCTTAAATATAACGATTTCACACCAATTCTCGTTAAATGATATCGACTTTTGTTGTTTAAACCAATAGTTGGCACAAAACTGGAACTATTTTGAGACTCTTTCCAAACCAATCAATTAATGGATCTCGAGATATGAGAAGATCTTTATCACCAACTTTTCAATCGTAAACACTTTCTCAACACTATTAACACTTTTTTCATCATTTTTGGCACTCATTTTAGGCATGAAATATGTATTTTATAATTATTCAAATAACTTATTAATATAAAAATATCAAAAATTTAATTAAATATGTGTCGTTTAAGACTTTATTTATTTATTTAATAATTTATTTATAGTTTATTATCTAAATAAATATATTACATATAAAACAATTTATTTGTCAAAAATAGGTTAGTGAAGTTCTGTGATGAATTATTTGATAATCATTTATTAATCTAACACATATTTTGACACTTAATTCAACATGGTAAATAATTAAATTAATTAAATATATTTATAATAAACAATAATAAATGCCGTTTTTATAGCAACATTATTATATTGAATGTTTTAACATAATATATTAAATAGGAAATGAATGTTATATAATATACGCAAAGCTTGTATGAGACCCACCCATCGCTAACATGAATACATTACATAATTTGTTTCCCTCTGGTATTGATTTAAACTATTATTTAAATTAATTATTACTTTTAAAAATAACATCAATTTTTATTTATTTATGTAATGTGAATTAATATAAAACATTATTATGCTTAGATTCATTTAATTTTTATTACATTTAATTAACCGTGTAGAATTTTAATAACTTTATCAATTTAAATTTATTTATATAATTAATATTACTTTCTTACAGAGAAGTTAACAATTTTTATGTAAATCTTGATATATAAATTTCATATAAATTTCTTCTAATTCTTAAATTTCTTGGTATTTGAATTCCGACACAAAACTCTTGAGCGATATCTTTGTGAACACAAATCGTGAACCACTTCTTCCCCGGTATTTCATGCAAATCCATGAAATCAGTGATCAATTGGTCAACACTTTGTCAACACTATTAATACTTTTCTCATTATTTTTTGCATTCTTTTTAGTCGTGAAATATCTGCAATTAGTAAAGAATTTAATAGAAATATGCTTTAATTAGGTATATAATTATTAAATTATATATTTACAATATTAGTAACAATGAAAAATAAATACAACCTTTTAATAATCGCCAACATTATACTCTGAAATTACCTAGACACTTATATTTGTCGTTAAATTATATCATATAATAAATGACAGATTTATATAAACATTCAATAATAATAATCAAAATACTAGATTATATGTGCGAATATGTAATACAATATTTATCAATCTCTGCCATCACTTCGCATAGCGTTGTTTTGCGCTGTGTTTTTGGGTACTTAAATGTCATAAAACCTGTTATATAAACATCATAGTACTGTATAGATTTATTATGCATTTACATTAACTAACTAACTACATCTATGAATTTATATTTGTATCCACTTGTGATCATTATTATAGCATGTAACATTAATAGCCTTGAACTGGATTCCACTTATACAATGTTTTGTTCACTTACTATTATTTTTAACGTAATAATAATTTAAGATACTTTATATATCTGTACTTATTATAATAAATTCATCATTGTAACATAAACTATTATATTAATTGTGATTATTTGTTTGAAAAATTAGAGTTAATAGCATTTTTAAAGTCCAAAAATAACCAAGGTTACTAAAGCAAACCAAACTTATAAAAAGTAATTAATGTCTTATCAATTGATTACATGATTACATGAGTTGCACTTATCTATTGCTTTGACAACTATTTCTTGTGTATTATTTTTGTGACGATATTTTGTACTTTGATTTTTAAGAATTGACAAACATTTACAAGTATTTTATATTGTAACATTTAAGAAAATATACAATTTAATAAATTAAATAATGTATTGAATTTTACTATTTTATATTTTAATAGCAAAATGAATGTTAATAATAATACAATAATTGTTTGTATGATTTGTGGCGGAACTAAAACTATTGGTATGTATTTTGTGATGAAATTCAATGTTAATAATTAATTCATATAATATTTACCCCGTATTTAGGCCGACATTTCACAGCAATTACTTGCGATTCGTGTAAAACATTTTTCAGAAGAAATGCATTCAAGGAAAATGTTTGTTATAAATAAAAATAATTAAATATAATTTTAATTAATTTATTTAAATAGCAATTGAATTGCGGTTTTGAAGGCAAGTGTAATATCACTATTAATACAAGAAAGTATTGCCAAAAATGTAGACCTAATAAGTGTTTTTCGGTCGGAATGAGAAAAGTAATCATCATTTTATTAATTAAAAAGTTAAAAACAATTACATTTTTTTATTAATTTCAGGAAATAATGAATTCAGACGAAGAAAATAAAAGGAGACGACAATTGATTGCAGAAAATAAGCAAAAATCGAAACAAAGTATTCAAACAAATTCTGTACACAATATACCGGAGTTGGACTCAAACGACACCCAAATCTCTGACCAAACCGTTGGCCAATAAGTCGATGATATCATTGAGAGTGCATTATATATAACGGATAACGCATTGATTCTACAGATAATGGAAATTGAAAAAACACTTTCTAATGAGGAGACAAATGAAGACAACATAATACAAAACTCACTGCCATTACCATTGGTTCCGGTATTTAAAGAGTTGACAGATTATACCGGTTTGAATCAATTGGAGACAAACCGTATGCAAGAGTTGTTGAATGCATCCAATATTATAAACTATCCGATCGCTGATAATGTAATAGTGGTTCAAAATATGGACCATTTGATCCAAATGACAGCCCCGGCAAATGAAATCCATGTTCAAAACTTTGTATCATTTATTAAATTAATAAATGGTTTCAAAAATATTTGCAAAAGTGATCAGTATTTGCTTATGAAGAGCCAATTTTTGGACATTACTTTTTTGAGAACTTTAATATATTTCAATACTGAAACGCAAACTTATGTTTTTCCATTGGTATGACATTTCACCAATACTTGTGGTGTGTCGTCGGCTGAGTGTAGTCTAAAAACAGCTAAATAGTGTCAAGGTATGTCTTACCTTATATCATTATAATACCGTTAAAGAATTTCTGAATAAAACAATGTCTGTTTGTCAAATGGAATTGTGGTGTGTCGTCGGCTGAGTGTAGTCTAAAAACAGCTAAATAGTGTCAAGGTATGTCTTACCTTATATCATTATAATACCGTTAAAGAATTTCTGAATAAAACAATGTCTGTTTGTCAAATCCTAGGGTAATAATACCTTAACCAACAATATTAATATTTAATACCAGTACTAACAATAAATTAATTACAATAAAAACAAATACTTTAGGTTTTATATCAATTGTCGCTAGTGTGAGAAGTTGGGTTTCGTGCCAAACATATTGCATACAAATGCTATAAAGTATGCATTCATTGTATTATATTTACATACTGTACAAGTAATAAATGTAATTTGTGAAGTTTTTTATAAATTCATTTAATTATCATTTATTTAACATTTGATTCAATTATACATCCAATTATATTTAACTTTTATACTAACGTTTTATTTGTATAACACATTGACTTTTACTTACCATTTATGTTAACGTTGTTTATGTGCAGCACAAGCGAGCACTCATTCACTGCATTCACACAATAAACATTCAGTTTATGTTTGGCATTCAAAGCGATCACTTCATTTCATACCCTCTCTATTTCTACCCAAAGGGAATGCTTTTTACTGAGCACTACCTGAAGGACTCTCTCTTTTTGACCACATTCCCGATCGCCAACTGACCACTTCTGTCCACACCTTGTGGTCTATTGAGTCCGTTGTATTCGTCCAGTTGTTGTCACCAATTGATCCATTTGTCTGCATTTGTCGCACATTTAGTGCAAAACACGTGGCTTTTGTGCCATAAGTCGGCCATCTTTCCCATTGTCTCACACATTGAGCCACACATTCACCACTTGTTGCCATCCATTGTCCCCTCATTGTCTTCTTCGTGTCTTCTCGTGGTCTTCTCGTTGTCCTCTCCATTGTCTTCATCGACGGTAAACCTGACCTCACAGTTAGGAACCGTTCGTACGGGTCGTCATAACACGAGATCCGTCACAAATTATTATGTAAATTATTTAATTTATTGAATTGTTTGTTAGACTCAAACAACAACTGTATATATATTTACTGCAAAGATACATGTATCTGGTCGGATTATACTTTTATAACACATAAAAAATTATATTATAATAAAACATTTTAAAGTATGAATATGATGTGTTGTTTTTTATGTGTAATTAATCGCTGATAACGAATATCAAAATAAAACTTTATTATCTCGAATATTTACCGAAATATTAGACTTTAGAATTTAACCGAAAATTTTTTAATTTAACTTAACCTAACCAAACATAACATAATCTATATTATAATATGTTATATTTGGTTAAATAAGATTATTTTAATGTTTAGGTTAGGTTAGGCGCAAATCTTTAGAAATAAAACATAATTTATTTTTTATGTGTTATAAAAGTAGAACCCGACCAGATATCTACTATTGAAATATCGGTCGGAATCGGAATCACAGACAAGACT